ATCATGTTAAAAGATAACTTAAATATACATGTAGAATGTTAATATATATGCATTTATAGGTATTTAAATTCTACGTGTATACTAATGTAATCTTTTATGTAATTATATGTATTTATCTATCTATCTATCTATATATATTGTGGTTATTTGTATTTTATATATAGATAGATATATATAGAATGTCATTCTAAGTGTATTTTGTTACCAATATATATATATATTAATAACAAAATACAGTTAGAATGAAATTACATATGAATATATAATTTATATAAAAAAAATTTCAATATTTTATTTATTTATTTTATTATTTTATTTATTTATTATTGTAATTATACTTCTGGAGGGCTGCCTGACATGTCAGACAGTCCCCCTGCTGGTGGGAAGTGTAAAAAAAAAATAATTCAACATGTTTAAAAATAAAATAAATGTATTTATATATATTTATATAATATATGTATATCTATTATATATATAAAATATATACATATTATATATATGTAACATCATTCTAAGTGTATTTTAATACTAATAGATGTACTTATATTAATATTAAAATACACTTTGTATGACGTTACATATATATAATATGTATATATTTTATATATATAATAGATATACATATATTATATAAATATATATAAATACATTTATTTTATTTTTAAACATGTTGAATTAATTTTTTTTTTACACTTCCCACCAGCAGGGGGACTGTCTGACATTTCAGACAGTCCCCCTGCTGGCAGATCCACAGCCAGCTATAGGCCTCATTTGCCGTGGGAGGGCTGTCTGGGATGTCAGGCATCCCTCCAGAAGAGGATCACGGCAGAGGTAAGTATCCTGGACCTCCAGGGGCTCAAAGCCGTTACGGCGTTCTATGCCGCTGCAACATCTTTAAAGCCCACTTAATGCGGGACGGCATAGAACCTGTATTTTATTGTACCATAATGTAACAATGCAATGATTTGTGGACCCAGGACAGACTTGAAAACGAGAGAAATCTCAATGTACCATCCTGGTAAAATATTTTATAAATAAATAAATTAGTAAATATAATGCTACAGACATGTTATAGTGGTACATACATGTCTATACCTCTATACAGAGTTATGGTATGCCCTGATACAGGAGCACAGCCAGCCCCGTGTCTTTATATTTTGGATAAAGACTGGATGTCATGATGATGCAGGAGGAGGCGGATTGGCTTTTGTTTTGTATTCTTACTTTAGTGGAGTGTCCCTTTAAACCATTTGTGAACGGTTTAACCGATAGAAGAGACGGACACACCAGGTACCTCCTGGCACTATAACAACCACATGAAATGATGGTGAGATTGATAACTTTATTTAATTTATATTAATTGCAGTCACATCATTGTGTTACGCTGTATCAATGTCATTATTTGCTGCTATATATTTAAAGGATCCTATTTTGATAGAAAATAATTTATAATTATAGTCTGGAAATTGTTCCAATGTTACTAGTTGTGTTTGTCATGGTATTGTTGTGTTTTGTGTTACATGAAAGATTATTTTCTTAGTTTGTACATTGTTTTTAACCAGCACATACAGGGTGTAATTTTATTTAACAAGTGACCTCATCCAAGTTAGGGGAGGACCATGGGGGAGGGTGTGGGGTCTGAGTGACGTTGTATCAGTGTCCAGAAGCCAGTCTGCAAGCCATTCATAGCATGTCATCCTATCAGTGAGCAGAGGGCAGAACATCATAGGGAATTCGTCCAATCACAAAGTCACAAAGTCCTTGGCTCCTCCTTTATGATCTACACCGACTGGATGATATGGGTCATTCCAGGTGGCGCACTCTTACTGCTAACTCATAGCTGGAACCATGCTTGACCACAGGCGACTCAGAAGGGCCAATAAGTTTAACCCGTAATTCCCATGCTAGTTTAGTGGGTCCCAATGTAAATCATATCCATTTGGCTCCAGGCAATTGCCCACAATAATCTGGTAGGTGGGTAGCATTTATTAGCCAGTATGGCTTAGCCAGTTGGGAATTATCAGTCAGTGTGATGTAACTGCCCGGTGGTTACTGGTTAGTGTAATTTAGCTGGTTGGTAGTGATCGGTTAGAGGGATCTAGCCAGCTGTGATACAACATCACTGTGATCTATTCTGAGGTCAATACTCAGTAACACAAGGAAACTCTGAGTCTCTCTGTAATAGCTGTATGTTTGAATGTGTGTGTCTGCATGAATTAATGAGTGAGTGAGTGAGTGTGCGTATCATGTGTACATGAATTTTTGAGTGGGAGTATTAGTGAATGTATCTGTAGGTTTATGAGTGAATGGCAAGTTGTGTGTGTATGAATACATGTAGCGGATGGCACTGGGCTGTCCTGAGAATTACATGTGTTTGAATGCATTTGTGTAAAACAGCAAAGTTATATGTGTTAACTGTATTGTATTCGTCTGAATGTTAGGTAGTTTCATTCCCTTAGTTTGTTCGAATGAAACTACCGAACAGTCAGACCTCCCCTGTGTGAAGTGTGCCTTCAATTACCCATTGCAACATTGTTGCGAACGGGTAAGTGACAAGCTGAGTAGCCGTCCTTTGTTCTCTGGGGTGGCCGCCATTCGGGAAACGAACACGTGGCGGCGGCCATTTTAAAACTCCCGAACAGCGGTGTTTTGCCGTCGAGTGTCTGGAACTCAAATCGGGCACTCGGCTAGGCGAACACCGCTGAGACCTCCACAAGCCCGGTCCGTTCGGTTCCAAACTACCGAACGGCCCCTCGTTCGGTAGATAGAAACAACTGAACGAGGGGATTCAGGCGAATCCTCCCTAGTCTCTGTAGCTAGAGGCTTTCGTGCAGTTTATTCCCTTACTCCAGGACCGACCGCAGGGCCCCATCGCATGGAACCCCATTCGGCTGTTCACTCCAGTGCGGTCGGTCATTTTATTCCCTCCATGAATTTCCAGAACCCCTGGTCTGATCTGGGTGATTTTTGGATATGTTGTTCACCCAGATCAGGGCTACCTAAATAATCTAAGTTTAGGGGTACATCCAGAAATGGGGGGAATTGGTGTGCTGGATAAGGGGATTATGATGCAGGCTGAGGGGAGGAGATGTGTGGGAGGTTACCCGAGCAGGATTGGCTACTGTACAAATTAATGGAAATCCCTCCCTTACATTGGAGCATGCTTTATAAGGCCACTGTGTGAATAAATCTTTAGTTCTGCTCCTGATACTGTGTGTCGTCCAGTTATTGGGATTGCTGTTGGGATACTACTGTGTTATTCTGCCTGCTGGATACTTTACCCTATGGATTTATAATTGCTTGTTCCTGAACCTCCCTGGGATCTAAAGTGGAGATAGGCTGTGTAATACCAGCTCTCCGCTACAATACACATATGAGAAACTGTGTAATTGTGCATATATGTGTTTATATGTGTGTGGCTAGTTAGGTTTGTCAGTGGCCAGTTATGTGTGTTGATGTGTAAATGGACAGTTATGTGTGTGGATAATTAGATGTGAGCGTATATGCACTATGCACATGTGTCTCCGTTGCCAGGCAACTAACATATGATCCTGACTCCTAGGAAATCTGTCTATGCCCATTAGGCAGTCAGACACACAGATAACAAAACAGACACAAACACTATAAACACACAGAGAGCTTCGTGCAGCATTGGACGGGATTCTCTGAGTTCCACGCGCTCGGTACGATGAGCTGTAACAATATCCTCACACAGGGATGTAATTTATCCACCTAACAAATACCTGGAAATGAAAAATCCATATTAAACACATTATATCCATATATCACAATGTAATATCAATAGGGAACATGGGGCTTAATAATTCCCTCTTATATTATAAAGATCTTATTACACAGTTATTTATTGGAATCCTCACTAAAGGAACTCATATTTAGTAATAAAGTATCTCCTGATAAACTGATCCCAGCAGATTGGATTCTGGAAGCTCAGAATTCCCCACTTTGATAAATATCCTGGAGTCACCTCCTCTCTCCATGGGTGACCTCCCGCCCCCCTAACTCAATACACATTCACATGGGACCCCAATTCATTAAAATTCCAACCCAGTCAAGAGATATACAGAGACTCTCTCTGACTGTCTAAAACACAATGCATAGCCTAAGTGTCATCAGTGACAGCTGCAGGTAATTGGCTGTGTCTATGGAGGATCCTGTGGTCTCTCGTCTGTGCTAGAGTACAGCAGTGACGTCAGAGCCAAGAAGGACCATGCTGGACCAAGATGGCAGCGCCCACAGGATTAACTCGCCTTTACCTGCCCCCAACAATCATCAGAAAACCAGCAGCAAAGTCCCCAAACCGTGACAATGCAGCTTTAAACCTGCATTGTAGGCAGGCTGTATAGCACAGTATTGGTACGTACATCCAGGAGCACAGCACTGATAGCAGCAACCATGATACTGACAGCGATCCAAGAGACTCTGAATTTTCCTGAGACAGGATCTGGTTCAGCTGTAACAGACATATTACACAATAAATCCATTTAGATTATTTAACATTTGGTTGATTATACACTAACAAACACTAGGGAGTTGATTAAATTAGAGCAGATCACATTTATCAGCCATCGGGAGCCGATAATTATCAATTCAACGTTCAAAGCAATAGCTATACTTTACAAATTGGATTCAGTGATCCAATAGCCTTATTAAATTGGACAGCTAATAATAGTTGTTAAATCTCTCATCCATCTCTAGTCCATCTCCTTACCCCCGTCTTTGGCCAGCGATTGGGATCTATTAAATAAAATAAAAAAACGGGACGCATCCGACCTCTAGTGGGGTCTATTGACTAAATTATTGTGGGGGTTACAAGTTAACCAATCAGAGTGCTGTGACTGAGTGTGCATACATTGTAAAGCCATTTTAAGCCTTTTTCCAACTTCAGTACTGCAGAGTACTCTAAGTACTGCAGAGACATGGAGAGTTGGTTGTCCTGTGGTTGGGCAGTCTGGAGTGTGGTGCAAGAACAAGGCAGTAACAGCTTGTCGGTGGATCGAAGATGGATGGAGCACATCTGCTAATGATGGAGGAGGTTTAAGCAGTGGCGCAGTTATGGACGGCTTTGTAAGTAAGAACAAGACAATGTAACTGAACCATACTGGAAACAGGAAGCCAGAGACTGACAGAGTGGTGTGGTGTGAGAGAAGTTGGACTTAAGGTAGATAAGGCTGGCAGAGGAGTTTATTACGGACTGTAGAAGGTCAGTCTGTGCAATTTTTAGTCCAACAAGCAGAGGATTACAACAATCAAGGCAGAAAACAAGAGGACTACGGACAAACATCTTATTTAATCCTGAGTGAAAAAGGAGCAATCATGGGAAATGGTTTTAAGATGAAAGCATCAGGATTTGGTAATATTTAGGTAAAGATTAAGGAAAGGTCGGAGCCAGAAATCACACCACGGCGATGATAGACAGCGTAGTGGTTATTGTTAAGGGCCACATGACTATGCCGTCATGCAATGCAGAGCTTTCCGCCCATTAATGTCATAGACCGTCATGCAATGCAGGGCTTTACGCCCATTAATGTCATAGACCGTCATGCAATGCAGAGCTTTACGCCCATTAATGTCATAGACCTCATGCAATGCAGGGCTTTACGCCCATTAATGTCATAGACCGTCATGGAATGCAGAGCTTTACGCCCATTAATGTCATAGACCGTCATGCAATGCAGAGCTTTACACCCATTAATGTCATAGACCGTCATGCAATGCAGAGCTTTACGCCCATTAATGTCATGGGCCGTCATGCAGTAAGGGTGCCAGCAGGGGTTAGATCTCTGCTGGTACCAAGGAGCCTCAGGTATCTTTTGATAACTGGGGGTCTCCTCTGTCAAATGGGGAACAGTTAGTGGCCCCAGACTGACAGATGAGCTATGTGCAGCGTTTACAGTGTGCGCTGCTCACAGCCAATTAAATCTTTTTAAATCAGCTAATCAGCCACGCTATTTGAGTCTGACCCCAGCCTGCATATTTAATAAAATGGCAGCCCACTGCTCGTAGCTAATTAACTTGATTTAAATACCTATTTAAATTTAAAACTACCATTGCTCCCCCCCCCCACACCCCAAGTGTCAGAAAGACCCCCTGTCATGGACCCAGGGTTGCAAGTTAGAGATTCCTCTTGCTTTTGCGGGAAGTTTACAAGAGACATTTGTTGTTTCATGATGTTCGAATTATATGGACAAAATGGAGCTGAGTGTTTGTTTGGTTGAGAATTATTTTTTTAATTTATCCACATATGGGGCCATTTCTGTACATTAGAATGGTGTATTGAACACAGATATGCTACAGCCAAGACTAATTCTAGTAATATCTTTTATATAGAGGCAGAACATGTAGATAATACCCAGCTGGAGGCATCTTGGCACTGGACAGATTATGGAGAATGTCTAGTGATATTTACTAAGCTGTGTGAAGCTTCACTTTATGGCTGTGATGTTACTCAGTAAGGGGGAGGGAAGATATTTTAAGACTCCCAAATCCAACAACAGCCCCATTACCTGTGAGTGTGAGCTGAGCATGGTCCTCACTCACTGAGTTAGTAACAGTCACTCTGTATGTCCCATAGTCCGTGCTCCGTACAGTGAGGGTGTCATTAAATTCACTCAGCTGGTGGCCCTCGGGCAGGTCTCCTTCATCTCGGGTCCAGGTGACTGTGTGTTCCATCTCCCCAGTAAACTGAACTTGCAGAGATGTGGTCAGCCCCGAATTACTGAGAATGGAGCTAAGGCTAGTGATGGAGACTTTATCTGGGAGATAAGAGGTGGAGATCAGAGGCAGTGAATGTGCATGTCTGCTGGGTGGGATTTATTAAACCCAGTAACTGAGGATCATTGTGTTTAAATCTGTCTTTCGTCTCTTGTGATGTACATTACACCTTCCGAATCAGAATTCCTGCTAAGCTTTGCTGGATCGCTCACTTAGTATTAGATTTAATAAATGTCTCTGTGATATTTTATTTTCTATAGTTTTTTAATGGATGAAATTGATATGGGTAACAACTAATGTCCTAATAGTAGTCATTTCACACAAAAATGTATTTCTTACAGGCAAACTATCACAAAATACAGAAAGGAAAATAGATTCATAACATTTAACGGTGAACAATAACAGATTTTATATCTGGGCCCACGGATGCAGAGTTAAGATTTCAGCAACTTTTATTTATTTTAGTGTCTCCCATTTACCCTTTATTAGCCAGCATGAAAAGCACAGAATGACCTGTATTTCTGGAACAAGGAGGAACAGACAGGAACAATCTGGGTTCTAGAGCACTGCTACACTGATGTCTGTCTGCACACACAGTTTGATCCTGTCTGTCTAAAAGCACTCCTACACTCATGTGATTAACAGAACAGTTTTTTTGAGGTTTTAACAGTTGGTTTTTAGGCATCGGTTTTAAATCTATTGGCAGAAACCAGTTAATAATTATCAGCTGTTCTCGGTCAACTTTTTTTAATCGAATCTTAGCTGGCTTTAATATCAGACTACGTTCAAGCAGTCGATCTTGATAGATGGGTCGGCAGCTCAAAATAAAAGGTCTGATAAGTGTGCATCAGAAGTACTGTTGGTATTAAGTAGGCATGCCCCCACCTGATACACTGCGGTGTGGGGAAAGTCTACTAAACAGTGAGTAGCCAGCAGCAGGTCAATATCACTAAAAACTGAGCAGCTATTGAAATACAATACAGGGGGCGCCTGTCATACTAGCGTCACAACAGCCTCCACCCACAAGGCACGAGTGGGTGCTACTCATTAAATAAACAGGAGGAACTTTTCTCCCCCCCAACCCCTACCCATGGGCTGTGGATTGAGGCCATGAATTAAAATAAAAATGATGGACTTAGTGTCCCCCTCATAGGTGGCAGCAGGCTGGTTAGTTAAAATAAATAATAGGGACGTAGTTTCCCCCCCAGCCCACACCCGTTTGTGGTGGGTTGGGACTAATAATATACTAAATGTGGTGCCTAGTGTAGTTATCAGCCCCAGCCACGTGTGGTGGGTGGGGCTTTTAATTAAATAAAGGGTTAACATACTATTGCTCACCCCAAAATTGTAGCCAGGTCCCCAAGCTGTCAGCTACACCAACCAATTAAAATAATTCTGCTTACCACCCCATATCCTAATAGTGTCATTCAAGTCATTAGAGAAGTGAGGTTTGCCTCTCTGAGCGCTCTGATTGGTTGGCGTATGTGCCAACCAATCAGACTGCTCTGACCTTGCTTCCATAGTGTGGGTAAGCCCTTATTAGGGGCTTTCAAGCCTTGCAAACTCATTCTGCACAGAGACCTCCTTAGCATCACATAGATTAATTTTGTCTGAGTTTTTTCTGCACTTTGTTTTTGCAAATTGGCCAAATGGGGCTCTTTTATTTATATTTTTAATATTAGTGTCAGGAATTAATGGATTTTTATTTGGCCTTTGTGGGACTGAAGAAAAGATCGGAGAAGAAAGATCAGATGGTAAGTATACCATAATTTAGATTTAATGCGCCTCCCCCTCACTTATTATTCTGAGAAGGACTCGGCAGGATTTTAGGTGGTGGGGGACCAGCACTATTTTAGAGGAATGGCCAATGTTATGTCCACCCCATCTTTATTTAATTTTAGCCTCTCTTTTATTATATTGTCAGCTCCCTATCTGCTGGTCATGAGTAGAGGGTGTGGGAGACACTAAGTACCCCCATTTATTTTAATTATCAGGTCTCACAGATCATGGGGATGGGGGCTTGTAGCGGATAGCCCCAGGCGACCCTACAAATATACTGTTTTACCTGCATTCGTGTATCTGCTGTGTTTTCTATGTATTAAAGTGAATTGTATTCCTCTGATTGTTCGGTAGTTTCATTCCCTTAGTTTATTCGAATGAAACTACCGAACAACCAGACCTCCCCTGTGTGAAGTGTGTCCTCAATTACCTGTTGCAACATTGTTGCGAACGGGTAATTGAACAGTAAGTAGCCGTCCTTTGTTCTCGGGGGTGGCCGCCATTCGACAAACGAACACGTGGCGGCGGCCATTTTAAAACTCCCGAACAGCGGTGTTTTGCCGTCGAGTGTCTGGAACTAAAATCAGACACTCGAGTAGGCGAACACCGCTGAGACCTCCACAGCCCTGGTCCGTTCGGTTCCAAACTACCGAATGGCCCCTCGTTCGGTAGATAGAAAATCCAGACTCACAGAGGAACAAGCATAAATGGAGTACGGATGGAGATTGATTTTGCCACACTAAAACGCTCCACGCTAAAAGACCTTCTGGAGGCAAGGGGTATACAAGCCAGCAATAAGACAAAAGCGGTACTCATTACTGAACTGATGGCGGAGTACCGAATGGACGGCGATTCGGTTCCCGAACAGGGGAATTCGGGAGAAACACCGGAACAAAGGGAGTTCCAGAGGCAGGTACAATTTCGGCTGTCTTTCTATTTGGAACACCCTCCAACAGAGATTGTTTCAAAAACAATGACGGAGGTCCAGGAATTTATACTGAGGAGTCAAGCAGCGGCCCCAGAACGCAGCGCTGAAGTAAATATGCCACAAGAAGGTAAGCCTAAAATACCATACCAGGCTTTTAAAACATATGTGGAGGCAGAGGAAGATATAGACGCTTTCCTGCAAGATTTTGAGAGACTGTGTGCACTGCATAGAATAAGCGCAGAGGACTGGGTACCTATTTTGGCAGGGAGGTTAACTGGGAGGGCAGCTGAGGCATACCGTACTGTGCCTAATGAAGAAATAAGGAATTACAACAAAGTGAAAGAAATTATATTGGCCAGGTATGCTATAACACCAGAAGCATACCGGCGGAGATTCAGGGATTTAAAGATGGTGGAGAGAGACTCACACGCAGAGTGGGCATGCAGACTACAACGAGCAGTCTTGGGGTGGGTGCAAGCGAGCAAGGCACGGTCTATGGAGGATGTATTGCAAATGGTACTGCTGGAGCAATTTTATGAAGGAGTAACCAGCGAGGTACAGGAGTGGGTAAGAGACAGAAACCCTACCTCCCTTACCGAAGCAGCCAGGAAGGCAGACGAGTACCTGGATGCACGCAGGCAGCAAAAACCTGCAGCTCCAAAAGTACCTTTTAAAACCTTTGGGGGGAACAACTACACGCCAGCTCTACCAAGACCACTGCCACCACCCCCACCGCCCGCTGCACAGCCACGTTTCCGCCAGCCCACGTCGGGCCCTTGCCACCACTGCCAGAAATGGGGACATTATAAAAGGGAATGCCCCCAGCTGCGGGACCGCTCCACCTGGATTCGCCCCGGCCCCCCACCACCACCGAGAGCAGCCGCAGCCCACCACTACCAGGACATCGTGGCCACACCGTATGGTTCAGCAGTTCCCATCACAACGGTAGAACAGTGGGAGGTACTGCACGAGGCAGATCCCGTCCAGGCTAATGCTGACAACCGCCAGCATCACAGGCAGACCGTGTATCTGGAGGGTAAAGCGGTTCAGGGGCTACGTGACTCAGGAGCCACCATCACCCTGGTAAAAAGTCACCTGGTCTCAGACCAAGCTAAACTAAGTAAGACTGTGGCCATCAGGGTAGCCGGGGGAGCAGTATACCGGCTACCTACAGCAAGGGTACATTTGCATTGGGGAGCGGGGGCAGGGCATGTGGAGGTGGGGTTGATGCCGCAGTTACCGGCGGAGGTTTTATTGGGGAACGATCTGGGGAGGCTCACATCTGCTTTTGAGCCCCAGACACCCACCACAGGAGAAGCTCACCCTGTGGTCACTCGACAACAGGCCCGCACCCAGGACTACAACACACTCCCGGAGGTTCAGGTAAGAGATCCTTCCCCTTCCCTTGACTGTGTTCCCTGGGCCCCTCCTAACGAATTTGCAGCTGAGGTAGTGACTGACCCCACCTTGCAGGTGTATAGGGACAAGGTGACAGCAGACACGCCTGGGGGGGAGGGCGAAAGGTTTATTTGGGACAAACAGCTGTTATATCGGGAGACGGATAAGAAGGTATCCGGGTCAGACCCGATTGTGATGAGGCAGTTAGTGGTACCTCAGCGGTACCGGGCGGAGTTACTACGGATAGCACATGACATTCCGCTATCTGGACATTTAGGGGTCAGCAGGACCCGATACAGGTTAACCCAAAGTTTCTTTTGGCCGGGAATTAGCCAGGAGGTGCGCAGGTATTGCAACACGTGTGATACCTGTCAAAGGGTGGGGAAAAGGGGGGACCGGCGCAAGGCCAAGTTACATCCCCTTCCCATAATCGAGGAACCCTTTAGCAGGGTAGCAGTTGACCTAATAGGACCCCTCAACAAAGCGAGCCCGTCAGGTAAAAGATTTATCCTGACGGTAGTAGACTATGCCACTAGATATCCAGAGGCGGTGGCCCTGACGAATATACAGGCTGAGACAGTAGCAGAAGCCCTGATGAAGATATTCTCCCGGGTGGGACTCCCCAGGGAGATTGTCTCCGATCAGGGCACCCAATTCACCGCCGAAGTCACGCAGCGCCTCTGGAAGTTTTGTGACATTAAGCCGGTCATTAGTTCCCCTTACCACCCCCAGACGAATGGGCTCTGCGAACGTTTCAACGGTACATTGAAACAAATGCTCCGAACCTTCGCAGAGACCCACAAGGACTGGGAGAAGTTCCTGCCCCACCTCCTCTTTGCTTATAGGGAGGTGCCGCAGGAATCCACTGGGTTTTCCCCATTTGAACTATTGTTTGGCCGCAGGGTACGAGGGCCTCTAGATTTAATCAGAGAGCATTGGGAGGGAGAACGGAGCACTGACGGTACCCCCATCATACCATACGTGTTGGCATTCCGAGACCGCCTTGAGGCCTTAACTCAGACGGTACGCGAGAATTTGCAGGCGGCTCAGACACGCCAGCGCACATGGTATGATCGGGGCGCCAGGGACCGTAGCTTTCAGGTCGGGCAGAAGGTGTTGATCTTAAAACCTGTCCGACACGATAAGCTGCAGGCCGCCTGGCAGGGCCCTTATAAGGTGGTAGAACAACGGTGTGACACCACTTATATAATCGGCTCGTGCGTTGGTACTGGGGGGCGACGCATGCTCCATGTGAACATGATGAAGCCCTACCAGGAGCGCTCGGAGGAAGTGACCGCTATATGTGCGCCTAACTCCGAGGAGTTTGACAGTTTACCTCTCCCGGATCTGCTGGGAGAGGGTCAGTTATCCGGGGACTTAGGGGAAGTCACCCTGGGGGATCGGTTGAGCCCACAGGAGCGGAGCGAGGTACAACAGCTGTTGAGGGAGAAGCAGGATATCTTCTCTAATGTACCTGGTTACACTCCTCTGGCCACTCACAGAGTAGACACCCCAGGGCAGCTTCCCATGCGTCAGACCCCGTACCGCATCCCAGAAGTGGTACGGGCGAACATGCGCAAGGAGATCGATGAGATGCTCCAGCTGGGGGTGATTGAGCCCTCCGACAGCCCCTGGGCCTCTCCGGTAGTACTAGTACCAAAGCGGGACGGCACGACCCGGTTTTGTGTAGACTACCGGAGATTGAATGAGAAGACGGTATCTGACGCCTACCCCATGCCCAGGATAGACGAACTCCTGGATCGGATGGCGAGGGGGCACTATCTCACCACGATTGACTTGTGTAAAGGGTATTGGCAAATACCCTTGGCGCAAGACGCCATCCCTAAGTCGGCCTTTGTCACCCCATTCGGCTTGTACCAATTTAAGGTCATGCCGTTTGGGATGAAAAACGCCCCGGCTACTTTTCAGCGGATGGTGGACCGCCTCCTGGATGGGTTCCAAGATTATACCTGCGCATACCTCGTTGATATTGCCATTTTCAGCAATACCTGGCAGGAACACCTGACCCATATAGGAGCGGTCCTAGACAGGCTAAGGGCCGCTGGTGTAACACTGAAACCAGCCAAATGCAGCATAGGCATGGCTGAAGTACAATACCTAGGTCATCGAGTAGGATGCGGCAAGCAAAAGCCGGAACCAGCCAAAGAAGAGGCTGTAGCCCAATGGCCTACCCCTAGGACTAAGACTCAGGTGTTAGCGTTCCTAGGAACGGCCGGATACTACCGGAAATTTGTCCCGAATTACAGTGCCCTGGCCAAACCTCTCACCGACTTGACCCGTAAAAACCTACCCCGCCAAGTAACCTGGACCCCGGAGTGTGAACAGGCATTTCAGTTGTTGAAAGATGCATTGACAAATGCCCCTGTCTTGGCAGCTCCCAATCCAACTAAACGTTTTCTTGTCCACACAGACGCTTCTATGTTTGGATTGGGAGCAGTATTAAGCCAAGTCGGGGCCGATGGCGGAGAACATCCCGTGGCTTACATCAGCCGGAAACTGTTACCTCGAGAAGTAAGCTACGCCGCCATCGAGAAAGAATGCCTGGCTGTGGTGTGGGCCCTGAAGAAATTACAGCCATATTTGTACGGACAAGCTTTTTCCCTGCTCACGGATCACAACCCGTTAGTATGGCTAAACCGGGTGGCTGGGGACAATGCCCGGCTGCTGCGCTGGAGTCTGGCGCTGCAGCCCTTTGACTTTAATATCCAGTACCGCCCGGGTAAACAGAATGGAAATGCTGACGGGTTGTCTCGACAAACTGACCTAGAGAAATGATCCGTGAGCCTCCCCGGACATCCCCAAGCCGATCCGTGTTGGATCAGACTGTGTATGCCGGCTTGTGGGCAAGGGGGAGCAGTGTAGCGGATAGCCCCAGGCGACCCTACAAATATACTGTTTTACCTTAGTTTATTCGAATGAAACTACCGAACAACCAGACCTCCCCTGTGTGAAGTGTGACCTCCCCTGTTGCAACATTGTTGCGAGCGGGTAATTGAACAGTAAGTAGCCGTCCTTTGTTCTCGGGGGTGGACGCCATTCGACAAACGAACACGTGGCGGCGGCCATTTTAAAACTCCCGAACAGCGGTGTTTTGCCGTCGAGTGTCTGGAACTAAAATCGGACACTCGAGTAGGCGAACACCGCTGAGACCTCCACAAGCCCGGTCCGTTCGGTTCCTAACTACCGAACGGCCCCTCGTTCGGTAGATAGAAAGAACCGAACGAGGGGATTCAGGCGAACCCTCCCTAGCCTCTATAGCTAGAGGTTTTCGTGTATTTTATTCCCTTATGCCAGGACCGACCGCAGGGCCCATTCGCATGGAACCGGATTCGGCTATCTCAGTTAGTGCGGTCGGTCATTTTATTCCCTCCATACATTTCCCGAACCCCTGGTCTGATCTGGGTGATTTTTGGATATGTTGTTCACCCAGATCAGGGGTATCCGGGGATGTAGGATTTAAAGTGGTACCCCTATGTTTAGGGGTACATCCAGAAACGGGGGGAATTGGTGTGCTGGATAAGGGGATTATGATGCCGGCTGAGGGGAGGAGATGTGTGGGAGGTTACCAGGACAGGATTGGCTACTGTAATAATTACTGTAAATTCCTCCCTTGCATGGGAGCATGCTTTATAAGGAGACTGTGATTAAAGGCTTTCAGTTATGCTCCTGAAACTGTGTGTCGTCCAATTATTGGGATTGCTGTTGGGATATTGCTGTAGTTTACCTGCTGGAAGCCTTGTCTGTGGATTTACTATTTACTTGTTCCTGAGTCCCACTTGGATTATAAGCGGAGATACCCTGGGTAATATTGCATCTCCGCTACAGGGCTCTTAGTACAATAAGGGTCCCCTACGTTTATCAAGGTAGCATTCCCACCCGCCGATATAGTAGGGGTTCATATTTATCCAATTTGGCTTTTTTTTTCTTTTATTAACTATATGCCAAAAAAATGCATTTATCTACTGCTTTTATATGTTCGATTGGATGAAGCCATTAATCAGGCGTTGTGTGTCCGATATATGGAATTAAATCGCCTCATTTGATAGGCTCATTGTGAAGTACAGCTATATCCCTTCCCTTACTCTCAGTATAGATCACAGACAACTTACCTACAATGCTGTGACGTGCAGACTGGTACATACTTTCTGTACCATCCTCCTCAATGAGTATCCACATATATCGACCAGAATCGCTCTTCTGAACATTTCTGATTATTGCACATCCATTCAGTTCATTGAAGTCCACCCTGTGCCAGTAATTACTAAATAACTTCATATAATGTTGTTCACAGTTGTATTCCAGGATCGGTTCTGGTTTAGAGGAACAATCAAGAATCACGAAACCCTTCGCACCGCACGTCATCCCACACAGAGCTAGGTCTGAACCCACCGCGACCTGCACAATGTCTGAACCAGAGGAGATACCCAGCGGGAGGAGCAGGAGAGCTGGAAGACAGACACAGTTACATTCATTACAGAGCAGGATAGTATAAAAACACAATGTGGTACCTGGGTTACAGATCTGTTCATAATCGCGATGTTTCTTTATTACAGTCCCAGAAAATAAACCAGAATAAACCAGGTTCAGAGAGGTAAGGAAGCAAATTATTTCATTAAATGGTTACTCCATACACCATCCATGATCTGAAGTGGTCATGGTGCTTGGAGTCGGTATGTGCTGCATTTTACTGAGAAACATTGTAAACAAAGAAATAAAACACATAGCTGATGGAGGTGTAACCCCTCCTTGGGCTGTCATTGGCCAGTCTGGAACATTTCCAGGCTGACAAATGTGAGTTCTGTGCATATTTCACACAGAACTGAGACAACCACTGGTTCCATGAATACCCCTTCATGCTGCCCAACTTCTCCCCACAGCCCATCCTCCATGATGTCACTCCTCTTGCACCGGAGAACGATCAGACTTAGGGAGAACTTGGCCTTGGCATGGGATAGAAATCACTTCCCTTCATTCTCTTCATCCCAAAACAGTGTTTCGTTAAAACAAAGTTGGTTTTTATTTTGGTTGGAGTAACCCTTTAACACATGAATTTGTCACATTTGGTATCTTCCCTCAATCTTACTGAACCCATAAATAATTCCTCACTGTCATTTCTCTGGATATCTAAAACTTAACCCCCCCATTTCTGCTAAACCTCCCCTTTATATTCCCAATAGACAGGAGAACACATTAAGGATCAGGAGAATGTACGCCCTCAGTGCTGGGAAACTTACTCTTTGGAGTTTTCATTCCAAAACTACAATAAAAACACTCAAACGTGTAACAAATGGAAAACCACCAATAATTTTACCGAACCCGCGATAGATACAGACAGCGACAATATTATAACTATCGCCCCCATACACACACTGTGTAAATATTATTACTGCTATTTAGTGGATGAGAAAATGTCGTCATTTCTTACAATAGAAAATAGAAATACCAGGTGAACATACAGCAGGGCTGGCCATAGGTACATCTCCAGCTGCTACAGAACTACAACTCCCATGATGCTTTATAATGTTTTCATTTATCTACTGAAACTGTTCTCACTGCTCACCGAAACTTCTCTATAAACATACTGATTACATTTACACTGAAAGGGCTGCAACCTGTGTCCTAAATGAATATAATTTTGCCTCTTTATAAATCACTGGTAAGACCCCATATTGAATATTCTGTGCAATTTTGGGCACCTGTTCTAAAGAAGGATATTATGGCACTAGAAAAAGTGCAGAGGCGGGCTACAAAATTAATAAAAGGAATGGAACATATCGGCTATGAAGAAAGGTTAACAAATTTAAACCTATTTAGTTTAGAAAAACGTCGCCTGAGAGGGGATATGAAAACATTATACAAATATATTCAGGGCCAATACAAACCATTGTGGAAATCTATTCACAAACCGGACTTTACATAGGACACGAGGCCATGCGTTTAGACTGGAAGAAAGAAGATTTCATCTAAAGCTAAGGAAAGGTTTTTTTACTGTAAGAACAATAAGGATGTGGAATTCTCTGCCTGAAGAAGTGGTTTTATCAGAGTCCATACAGATGTTCAAACAGCTACTAGATGCATACTTGCAAAACAGAATATTCAAGGATATAATCTTTCAATGTAGGGTAATAACTGCTTGATCCAAGGATAAATCTGACTGCCATTCTGGGGTCAAGAAGGAAATTTTTTCCTAGCTTGTTGCAAAATTGTGCTTCAAACTGGGTTTTTTGCTTCTTTTGGATCAACAGCTAAAAAAAACAAATGTGAGGAAGGCTGAACTTGATGGACGCAAGTCTCTTTGCAGCTATGTAACTATGTAACTATGTAATAGTGTCCCCCCATTATCCACTATGAGTACCCCAATATAATAGTATCCCCCCATTACCCAGTATGAGAACCCCAATATAATAGTGTCCCCCCAGTACCCAGTATGAGAACCCCAACATAATAGTGCCCCCCATTACCCAGTATGAGAACCCCAGTATAATAGTATCCCCCCATTATCCAGTATGAGAACCCCATTATAATAGTGTCCCCCATTACCCAGTATGAGAACCCCAATATAATAGTGTCCTCCCATTACCCAGTATGAGAACCCCAATATAATAGTGTCCTCCCATTACCCAGTATGAGAACTCAACATAACAGTGTCCCCCATTATCCAGTATGAGAACCCCAATATAATAGTGTCCCCCATTATCCAGTATGAGAACCCCAATATAATAGTATCCCCATTACCCAGTATGAGAACCCCAATATAATAGTATCCCCCATTACCCAGTATGAGAACCCCAATATAATAGTGCCCCCATTACCCAGTATGAGAACCCCAATATAATAGTGTCTCCCATTACCCAGTATGAGAACCCCAATATAATAGTTTTCCCCATTACCCAGTGTGAGAACCCCAATATAATAGTATCCCCCATTACCCAGTATGAGAACCCCAATATAATAGTGTCCCCCATTACCCAGTATGAGAACCCCAATATAATAGTGTCTCCCATTACCTAGTATGAGAACCCCAATATAATAGTGTCCCCCATTACCCAGTATAAGAACCCCAATATAATAGTTTCTCCCATTACCCAGTATGAGATCCCCAATATATTGCCCCCCATTACCCAGTATGAGATCCCCAATATAATAGTGACCCCCATTACCCAGTATGAGAACCCCAATATAACCCATTATAATAGTGTATCCCCCATTACCCACCCAGTATCCCCCATTACCCAGTGTAGGAACCCCAATATAATGGTGTCCCCCTATTCCCAGTAAATATAATAGTGTCCCCCATTATCCAGTATGAGGAACCCCAATATAATAGTATCCCCCATTACCCAGCATATGTCCCCAGTATAGTGTGGGAGAACCCCAACATAATAGTGCCCCCCATTACCCATATGAGAACCTGTATAATAGTCCCCCCATTATCCGGTATGAGAAACCCCATTATAATAAGTGTCCCCCATTGCCCCAATATGAGGGAACCCCAATATAATGGTGTCCTCCATTACCAGTATGAGAACTCAACACGGTGTCCCCATTATCCAGTGTGAGAACCCCAATGTAATGGTGTCCCAGTTGGGAACCCCAATGTAATAGTATCCCCCATTGCCCCAGTGGGAACCCCAATATAATAGTGCCCCCATTACCCAGTATGAGAACCCCAATATAATAGTGTCTCCCATTACCCAGTATGAGAACCCCAATATAATAGTGTTCCCCATTACCCAGTGTGAGAACCCCAATATAATAGTATCCCCCATTACCCAGTATGAGAACCCCAATATAATAGTGTCCCCCATTACCCAGTATGAGAACCCCAATATAATAGTGTCTCCCATTACCTAGTATGAGAACCCCAATATAATAGTGTCCCCCCATTACCCAGTGTGAGAACCCCAATATAATAGTGTCCCCCATTACCCACTATGAGAACCCCAATATAATAGTGCCCCCATTACCCAGTGTGAGAACCCCAATATAATAGTTTCTCCCATTACCCAGTATGAGATCCCCAATATATTGCCCCCCATTACCCAGTATGAGATCCCCAATATAATAGTGACCCCCATTACCCAGTATGAGAACCCCAATATAACAGTGTCCCCCATTACCCAGTGTGAGAACCCCAATATAATAGTGACCCCCATTACCCAGTGTGAGAACCCCAATATAATAGTGTCCCCCCATTACCCAGTGTGAGAACCCCAATATAATAGTGTCCCCCATTACCCAGTATGAGAACCCCAATATAATAGTTTCTCCCATTACCCAGTATGAGATCCCCAATATATTGCCCCCCATTACCCAGTATGAGATCCCCAATATAATAGTGACCCCCATTACCCAGTATGAGAACCCCAATATAACAGTGTCCCCCATTACCCAGTGTGAGAACCCCAATATAATAGTGTCCCCCCATTACCCAGTGTGAGGTCCATGATGAGAGTTGCTGGTTGCAGTTGGCTCTGGATACAATGTAACCGGGATGGAGAAAGTCTGACACTGATAGTCAGAGAGTCTGAGACAAGAGGCAGAAGCTCCATAAATATATACGTATTATGTAACCCGGCCCGGCCCTGGTATAACCCTGCCTATGCACAGTATAACCCCGCCCGGCCCAGGTATATCTCGGACACAGTAAGGATCCTCCCCTGGTATAACGAGCGTGGGAACATTTTTAGCATTACGACTGTTCCTGTCAGTCAATATGTCTTCAAGTATTGATTGGAGTTGGGTTTAGTAATATTTGTAAATATTGCCTGTATTTTATAAAACAAAGGGGAAATGGGTCGTACCTCTGGACTTATATCATGTGGTATCGGACTTTATACAGCATGAATTTTCATTTTACAGATTTAACTCGAACATGTCACATCCAATGTTTCTATACCAACCCGTTACAGACTGAGGGGAATGTCCAAATTCTAAACGAAAACAGAAACTAGAACTTGTGCTCTGTGTTTGTTCCTCCACAATTTAACAGTCTCTCTTTATGTGCACCCACACACGTAATACATTGTTTGTACAGGACAGAAATAGCTTCCCACTAGGAGATTTCATTCTAAACTGCAATATAACAAATATAAAAAGAGATTGCCAGCCTGGCCCTTCTTTACAATACATAGTATACAGTACATACCAATAAACAAAGAAATAAAATATACATTTGTTTTAATAGTGCTTACATCCAAAACACAAACACTGTGGAGGGTAACATGCAGTTCCGTAATATGAAATAAAAAAATAGGAAAAACAGAATAGCATAATACTGTATGCGTCAAAGGAAAAAATAAAAAAAATACTGAAAATGCACTCACAAAACTGGAGCTATCTATTAGCTCTCAGATATTAGTATTTGACAATACAATCCTTGTCACGGGATATGGTGTGGATGATCAATCACGGCTTTGGTAGGAGTACAAGATTGTTCTGTAGTACCCAGAGAGTGTGCATCTCACATGGAATATATAAACGTGGAGACAACCATTCAAATTTGTTTTATTTGGTCCTGTTTTTACTTATTATCTGGAAGTCTCCTACTGGCATTTTTCTCTATTTTTCTCTGTTTGTCCTTACATATCCCAGGTGGGGATTGCACCACCCACGCTGTTTCCAACAAGCTCCAATAATAGTACGTACATTCCCTCCTATTTACAAACAGAACTATTTTTATATACAGAGAGCACTATTTTTTGTCTCTGTTTTTATTACAGGGAGTGCAGAATTATTAGGCAAATGAGTATTTTGACCACATCATCCTCTTTATGCATGTTGTCTTACTCCAAGCTGTATAGGCTCGAAAGCCTACTACCGATTAAGCATATTAGGTGATGTGCATCTCTGTAATGAGAAGGGGTGTGGTCTAATGACATCAGCACCCTATATCAGGTGTGCATAATTATTAGGCAACTTCCTTTCCTTTGGCAAAATGGGTCAAAAGAAGGACTTGACAGGCTCAGAAAAGTCAAAAATATTGAGATATCTTGCAGAGGGATGCAGCACTCTTAAAATTGCAAAGCTTCTGAAGCGTGATCATCGAACAATCAAGCGTTTCATTCAAAATAGTCAGCAGGGTCGCAAGAAGCGTGTGGAAAAACCAAGGCGCAAAATAACTGCCCATGAACTGAGAAAAGTCAAGCGTGCAGCTGCCACGATGCCACTTGCCACCAGTTTGGCCATATTTCAGAGCTGCAACATCACTGGAGTGCCCAAAAGCACAAGGTGTGCAATACTCAGAGACA